GGCTGTGCAACTCTTGGGTTGTCTGTGTGGATCTTGGGGGGCTGTGCAGCTCTCAGGGGGTGTGCGGCTCTCAGTGGTGATTGTGCTCTCAGTCTGATTGTGACCGTCCCGCATCGCACACCGAGGCGGCGATCCGGGACGGTCTGACTTTTTCTTAGAGGTGGCCCGAACCTGGGATCGCGTGCCAGCCGAGAGGGCCCCGTGTGCCCTCTCTGGCACGCGTGCCATAGGTTCGCCACCACTGATCTAGGACAACATAGCTGAACTGGAAAGTGAGCTGGATTGAAGAATTTCTCCAGTTCAGCTATTTGTCCTAGATTGTTCACTTCTCCTGCCTTCTCCAAACTCTTCACCCTTTTGTGAATAGCTCTGTCAGTGTTAAAATAACCTTCAAGTATCTATGTTAACGTCTCGGTGATCACACAGAGCAGACGAAGAACGGATGTTCTTCGTCTGCTCTACGGTGAGCTCCTATGCCGTGGTCACGGGTCCCCCAGAGGAGCGGGGGACCCCGAAAACTGCGGCGGGGGGTCGGACAGGATCGCTGCTGCACCTTTTATACAAGTGATCTAATCAGATCACTTGTATGAAAACGAGCAGCGGGTCCACACTATACGTTTAGCTCTGCTTGTCAGGAGCAGGGCTAAATGTACAAAAAAAGTACTCGCCCGGCGCACGAAACTGCATGTCCCAGGCGTCGGGAGAAAGGGATTCCCTCAGCTCTCATACATTCGCTCCATATGAATGAAACAACCAACTCACTGACTCACATTGTGAGAAGGAGCAGTAAAGTACAACCATCCCACAGTCCTGTGTGCATTATGGACAAAGTTGATGACTCTTTCCATGTATGAATGGAATTTTGTAAAAAAAAATTAAAAAAATGTAAAGCTGGCTCCAGTGTAAAGAAGACCTCCAGGGTTTTCTTTTGATCTGCAGTGTAAAGACAAGTCTGATGAGGTGTCTGGCACTTTAAGTAAAGCTGTACTAACATTAATATTTACACTTTTATTCATATCAGGAGGCAGATCTTTTGCTATACTTCCAGCCTGCTGTGGCCCTCATACACACATGGGCAAGGGGAGGTGCAGCTTCCATGTATGAGAGCCACAGCCAGACATTTGTACAGCGATATGTAAATATTAATGATAGTCCAGCATTCCTTAAACTGCCAGACACCTCATCAGACTTAGGGGTCTATTCACAAAGCTGCCGAGGGCAGCCGAGTGAATGACCGATCAGAAGTGAAGTGAGCCGAACACTGTTCGGCTATTCACTTCAGGCTGGTACGGCTGATTTCAGCTGTATATCGGCTGAAATCAGCCGTACATCGGCTTGCTTCGTGTGGCTTCGAAACAGCCGAACATGCTCAGCATGTTCGGCTGATCCGAAGTGCAGAAGGAGTTCGACTCAGCCGATCCAACATCTGGATCGGCTGAGCCGAACCTCCGGCAGGCTTCACACTGCTGTTCGGGCTATTATTTTTACACTGCAGAGTTGTAAAAAATGCTTTGAAATGTTTTTATCTGTACAATTTACTTGAAGTGTTAGTATAGCCAACATTTTTTTGGGGAAAGGATAGAGAACCTCAAGTGAACCTGTTGCTTTGCCGTGCATGGACAGTTCACAGTATGTCTAGGCAAAATAAAAAAATTATAGAGTTGTAATCAAAATTCATATGAATCCAACAATACCAGTATGACTGCAAACTGGTCAGTCTCTGTTTCAATGAAGCTGCTCCCTAATATAGCAATCTAGAACAGCAAAATGTAAAAAAAACAATATGATGGATGTTTATGTTGAAAGGATTTGCAGTTTTAAACGGTCGTAACCCCTATATCCAAAAAAGGAAAAATAACAAGCTGGATTTACACAAAGGAAAGTGAAAGGAAAGGGGTTTATATAAAGAGAGAAGTCTTCACAATACAGATAAAGATGAAGTCACTCATGTCCTCTGTCACCACAAGTCATTGTGAAAAACAATTTACATGAAGAAGCCATTTCATAGCCAACATTGCAATACCCAGAGCACACCTTTGGAATCAGAATTGTGCCTGGAACATAAAATACAGTGTGAGAAAGAACCCATTCGTGTTGCAGATGCTGGTTATAACTACTGCCTTTCCAACTACTACCATGGTTTGATTCCAGCAGGTTGTGGTAGTCTCCACCTATATAAATGGTGCCATTAATAGGACCGCACACTAGGTATGTTGTGTGCTAGATACACGGTAACGTGTGATTATCCCAATACTCAGGTGTGAATGGTACCTTGGTTCATTTGGTAAGTTTAAGGTAGTAAACAACTTGTGCAGGAGACTGGGAGTTCGACATATTTTCAAATGTTAATGCAACGTTACCTTTCTTTTCACAACTTTAAAACACAGAAAATGGCAACAGTCGCATGTGCAATAGTCTGGATACTCTAGTAAGTCAAAGAGGTCATTATTAAAGGGACATTAAATGTTCTTTGTTATCAATCAGCTCTCAATCCAGCCACTATACCCATCACATGTCTGTAAAAACCTCACACAGATCAGTTTTCTGCCTTCTAAATATTGTCTCCACACCCGTCTGTATAGTGGGGTTAGGGTAGCCCAAACTAACCCTGCAACTGCCAATACAATTCATCTAAAAGAGGCTTCACTCCTGAAAGAAGGGCACAACCATACCATGATGAAGCTTGGATTATTCCTGTTTCTCCAGCTGAAGGAAGGGATGCTGATCTCTGGAACATCTCCATGGAAAACTGTACAAGCACTGTGAGTGTGACCACTTAGGATCAGCCTTGGCTGAAGTAATTGCAGCAGCTACAACAGAGGAAAGAAATCCCTGTAAGCACGTGGACATTAAGAAGTGTCACATCATTCCACTAAAAAGTTTTCCTTCATTTCTAATTTTTTTTCTTCTACAGAATCTGCTGCTTTCAATGTTCTTGCTATTAATTTACTGGCTTACAATGCAATAAGAAAATGTGAATGTAAAACTCTGGTAACAAAATATGGTTTGTAAGGCTACCAACTGGTGTTCACACGTCCAAGGTATCTCCCTATTCTGATGACAGGATCTGGTGTAAAGTTCAGGTGGCTCCTTACCTTCAGGCAGTCCCTTGTTTTTGTTGGGCCTGTTAGCTGTTTTTTGGCTGCGTTGCCCAGCTTTAGGCTATTCCAAAGGTTGCAAAGTTACTGTGTCCCTCTCCATGGGCGAGAGAAAATTGGATTTTTGTACTTACTGTAAAATCCTTTTCATGGACACAGGTCCCACCCCTCTGTGTTCACAATCATGCTCTTGGTACTGCTTTGCTACCAAGTGAAGCGTGCTGGTTGTAGGAGAGGTTATATTTAGGGCTAGCCTACGATTGTTTTTATTGGCCAGTGTCTGGTAAGTACTTATGTTATCAAGACTTCGGTTTTAATTTGTTAATCATTTCAAAAACTGTAGATTTTTTTTTTTTTTTTTTCATTTCAAAATGATGGACTATAATGTGTAGATGCAAAGCGTACACAGGGGGTGAAGACATGACATTAGCACTGATGTCTGTCATACAAGCCTCTTTGATGCAGCAGGAAGCCAGACGTACAGCTCTCTTAGTACTTCCCAGAAGAGGTACATGCAGTATTTACAAGAAGGAACAACATAGGTACAGATTTCAGTAATAAAGGACTGGGCCACAAAAATATGGAGCCATCTGAAAATATATAAAGTAGAGGGCCCGGAGTTGAGCTTTAAGCATTTGTAGCTAAACATTACAATGATTCATATTAGTTTTTCCCCAAGTATTGCCACTACCGACTATATTGTCAAGGGTCATACACCAGGAGTATAGTTCACCAGGAGCTAGGGCTACACAAGCAAGTTTAAAACTTTGATACTGAGAGATTTGATCACCGTCTGGCACTTCCACGTCACTGAAAACAATGTAATGCTAAGGAAATCTTGTCATGTAGATGAATCTCTCATCACCTAAAGATTAATATCATCCATGGATCCCTTGTCTAACAAAGGAAGCCTTTAAGATATATTTCTTTTTTTGGTAGTGTTCATTCATATTATTTCATGTAACTGTAGCTTCTGTTATTGGTATAGGCACTTAATATGCTCTCACTTTATACATGTGGGTGCCATATAACCCCAATAATAACAATATCCGCAGCTATATTATCAACTCATGAAACATGTGATGTGTGTTGTCCTTTATTGCCAGTGACTCTAACCTTTGTAGAGGCATCCTGTGAAAGAACATCATATTTCTCTATAAACAGAACTTGCTTTTCCTCTGGAGTAGCAGAATCCTCGCCAGTACATTCGGAGTCACCTGTCCGGTACAACGGATAATGCTGAATAAAAACAAAAAAAGGATTTCATTATCAAATTCAGTATTGCCAGCTTTTTAATCCTGTGTACATGTATGTCAGCACCCATTGTAGCTCCTCTATATCACATTCAGACCTTTCTATCTAGGAAAGGTTTATATATTTGAACTAAAGTAAACTCTAGTATTTTCTTTTTTTAAATGGGTAACAAAAATTGAGTTCACTGAGCTATGCGTGTTGTCCATCCTGACCAACTAGATTCCTTTTTTAATGTTCCCAGATAATGAAAGATAAAACATAGCTAACCGCCACCGGAAAACCAAGCAGTGGGTAAGCATGGAGGAGGAAGACACCAATCCGGCCTTGGCTGGACTTCCCTGGCTATCTTCACCCATGCTGTCCTCTACTCGCTTGCACCCCACTATCGCACCCACACTCTTATTCTGTTCCACCCGGCCTATCTGAACTCCCACCCCTGATGCTCTTCTTCTAATCTACTTCTACTCCCATGCTCCCTCCTTTACCATCCCCCCTCCCCCCTCCTGTTCCTTTAGATACTGAGCACGGCAGGCCTCCTGTTCACATGAAACCACATATGCGATACAACTGACACATACAAGAGATGGAGTGCTCTAGCCTTGAGTCTTGCTCTCTTGCTATACACCATACTAAGCTCACGTTACACATGGCGCATGCTTTTAAATGTCATATAGATTGCAGTAGATACACCAGAGGTGCCTATGGTAGATATGTGTCGGACGTACTATTGGAACTGAGCAGCTCTGCTATGTGATGTCATGATAACTTCACTGTGACCGACGTTCACCCTATACCTCTGATGTCTGCAGATAATGTTATCGCGCTCCTGGGGCTATGCCTCTATGTACCCTTGTACCCTGTTTTTCTTTATGCAATAAAGCTGATTTTTGATTTTAAAAAAAACAAAAAACAAAAACATAGCTAACCACTCCAGGCAACAGCTTCATTTCACTTCCACTTCCTAGTCTTTACAATCAAACTGACCCTTTTTTTTTTCTAATTTGCTCTTACCAATGATTTTTTTCACTTTTTAACCACTTGAAGTCTGCAGTATTACACCCCCTTCCTGGCCAGGCCAGTTTACAATATTCAGTGCTGAGGTAATTTGACTGACATTTATTGTGTCATGCAACGCTGTACTGAAATGAATTTTATACCATTTTTTGGGGGGACGTAGAGATTTCTTTTGGTGGTATTTAATCGCCACTGGGGTTTTTATTTTTTTTACAGAAAAAGTACAGAAAATTATTTTTAAAAAATCTGTTTCCCTACGTTATGTTATAAAACATTTATTATTACCCAAATTTTTGGTAAAATATAAAAGACGTGGTCATGTCGGGTAAATAGACATCAAACATGTCAAGCTTTAAAATTGCGTGTGTCCGCAAAATCGCAAAAAACTACCACACCCAAAATTGGCCATAGGCGACGCTTCAAAAGCTGTTACTGCTCATCAGTTTAGTGTCATCAGTGATTGATAGCCCTAGAATTATTGCTCACACTCCGACATTCGCAGCGATATGTAACATGTGCGGTGCAATCGCCGTTTTCGTACGTAGGAGCACTCAACACATTTTTGTATGTGGAGGGCGGGGGACTTGGAAAAAAAGATTTGACTTTTACATTTTTATTTGTAATTTTAAATTTGTTATTGTCCCTTAACTTTATTGCTAACACATAGGGAGCTAACAATCCCCCTATATGATAGCCAATTTGCAGTGACAGGTCCTTTTTATGGAGTCATCAGGTGTCTTTAGGACCCCTGTCACCTAGGGACCCCCAGAGATCTGCTTCTCTCCAGCTTCTGTACCGGAGAGAGACGCTCCGTCTAGCAGCGGCCACAAGCGAGGTGGGGAGAGACGTTTAACAACGTCCACCCGCATCCAAGAAGGCGCTGTCCGGCCGTTTAATTACAATGGCCGGACAGCAGGTGGTTAAGACTTCCTGTGTCCCTCAATGGACAAAAGAGAAAGGATTTAAGGCAATACTACTGTACTTTTTTGTATACTAATCAATCCAAAAAATGTATTATTTGCAATATGACCCTGACCATTCCCTGTGATTTCTCACCTGCAGAAGAATGGGAGCAGTCGGAGGCAGCAGGTGAACTTTTCCACACTTCTTCACAAAATCTGTCTGATTTTTCTATCAAGAATAACATTTGTAATTTTTTATTTCATGCAAAACAGATGTAGCCAATGTCATAGAAAAGACATGTCAAGATTCTCTATTTGAAAGTTAATGATTCTAACAAAGATCCGAAATCATGTGTTTTAAACATAAAGTAACACAGACCAGAGATTTCCACAGACACAACATTAGAAATCCAAAGACGTTTTTGTTGCTTGTTACTGATGCCCACAAACATTTACACAAAAAATAGGCTTAAACTGTATTTAAAGCTGACCTCCGGTAAAAACACATTTTTGACAGTTACAATGTAAAAATAAATTACCTATAATGAGATGTGTCCCTTATCCGGATGCTGCTGCATTAGTTAAAACTTTCACTTTTATTAACCCCCATATCATTTTTTCAAACTGTAACTTTCAGAGCCAGAAATTTGGCACTCACATTATTGTTTGGGGTCAATGAAAGTAAAGGTTTGAACGTAGGGCCTGTTCACACCAGATACAGTGCGTTCCTTCCCGATTCTGGCCAGAACGCACTGCCTCGTATTGCGGCCGGCTCACTTTTTTTGTGGGGCAGGAGGGGGCGTGGCGGGCTATTGAAGTGAATGTCACCGTAGCCACGCTGTCCGGCCCCAATGCGATCGGCCGCACGGGATCGCAAGGCACATTATGCTTGCAACATTTTGATCGGACCGAACCACAGGCATAATGTGCCTTGCGATCCCATGTGGGCGATCGCATGGCGGCCGGACAGCGTGGCTATGGTGCCATTCACGCCACGCCCCCTCCTGAACACACCACAAGAAGGTGAGTCAGCCGTAATGCAATGTAGTGCGTTCTGGCCAGAATGGGGCAGGGACGCACTGCATCTGGTGTGAACGGGCCCTAGAAGAGCATGCAGAGATGGAACACCTCTCATTAGGGGTAACTTATTTTTACAATGTAACTATCAAAATAGTTTTTTTTTCCTGGAGTTCAACTTTAAATTGTAGTGTGTTGATCAGCTGTATAGAAAGTGTTTGACCCCTTGTGCTTGTACAGTCTGTTGTAGTATGCAATGGGAAATGTTCATATGTACATGTACCTATGTTACCTGGGTGCTAGCCACTGCCGTGTATGTATTGCTCACACAGACAACTGTTTTAAAGAAGCAACAAACAACATCTGAATATTTCCAGTTTTGCACAGTGGATACTTGAGGAGCCTATGCAAGCATTAAGAAACAATTTATATAAGGGCCTGTGTCAATGAGCTTGAGTGTATATCGAAGGCATCACTTTGACATTAGTTTGAGGCACTTCTGAGTTCATTCGGTATTCACTGGCAGGTGCATTTGACCTGTAGCTGACCTCCTTCGGACCTGCAACAAGCAGGCTTTGCCTTATTATAGTCTTGCATGGGAATGCAAAGCCCGTCCTAAGTCAACAAAAGCCCATTGACACAAGCTCCTATACAATTTGCCGAGTCATTTTCCTGTTCCACCATACAATATGGAATCTGTAAACAATATAAAAGAAAGGTATTGTTACACTTCAAATGATTCTATCAGAATGTGGAAGAGTGTTTCCCTAAAGGGGAAAATATGATAGATCTTACTTTTCTGGAACAAGACAGCTGTCGAGAAACTTGAAAAATATGATCCTCTTCTGCTCTACAAATCACACAGCCATCGCCCTCCAGAGCAACACTATTCACCAGGACAAAACTGAAAGAAAAGAGTCCCTGATAAAGGAGTGCTTTATCATTACTTATCTTCCTGCTATTGAGTCCAGCCTTTGGGTCATGTTCACAGTATGTTGGCATTAAGCTGGGTATACAGAAGTAGATTTTTTTAGTTCAGCTGAATGAGAAAATCTAACAGATTCCATCATCTGCGCTACACAGCGTGGACGAAGGACTCTCCCACTGCCTAAAAAGTGGCTGCATCTGTTTGTATGCAGGTGCTGGTTCGCTGATCATTTTCCGCTCGCAGCTTCGATTTTTCAATTGAAGGATGTTGCGTGGAAGGTGGCAGACAGGGCAACCAAACCATATTTCGGGCAGTTCATGAACCAGTTAAGAATTGGCTGAAATTCGCTCAGTGTGCAGCCAGCTTTAGTTTGCCAACTGGATGTACAGGCAAGCTCCAACAACTCTCACACTACAGGGTCTTTAGGGCTAGTTCACAACTGGCACTGTTACACTAATGCATATCCATTAAAGGAGAATTATGGGGAGAGTGAAATACACTTATCCCCATACATAGGGCTAATGTATGACACTCCTGCTGTCACACGCCAGCTCTATTGATCGAGAACTGAACGATCACAAACCGCTAATCGCTCAGCTAATGATCTTCTCCCTACAGCGTGACTGTCGGTCATCCCGCAAGGATTCTCCCCCCTCTGTTCCTGCAGCGCTGACTGGAGGGAGCGACGGGGGCGGGCACGGCTGGCTATAGAGAGGCAGAGCCAGATGTCAATCAGGCAGCAGGGTAATACCAGACAACATTGTTGGGATCTTTCCTGGCTGCACCGCGGCTCTGCGCTGTCAGCATGTTGAGTTTTGGGCCACAAAAAGAGAACTATGGCCAAAAAAGGTTTAGCCATAGTTCTCTTAACAACCGTTTTGATGTATGTGTGTTTTACACTTGTATTTTTTGTTTTTTCATTATGCAAAGTGATGGAGACATATTTAAAGAAAGTTTTTATTTGTGGAGCAGTTCCATTAAAATGCACAATACTTGTACCCCCTAATGGTTTCCTGTGAATCCTCCCACATCCCTCATAGCTCTGCTTCCAGTTTTCCCCAGTACATCCCTATGCATCATCTCGTATCTTGAGATCTAAATATACATCCTGGGGGAAATGTTATCCTATGTTATTGATATGGTTTTTTTGCAGTTATCCAGATCTATGTTTCAGTATGTCTGGCATTATGCTCGACTGTAAACAGTTTTTTAAACAACTATTTTTTGTGAATCTGTTTCAAAGCGTATTACCTGCCAGCAACAAGCACTTCCTGTTGCAGGTTGACAACATTAAGCCACTACCTCAGTTAACAGAAATCTTGTCAGCCTGCCATCAGAGCTCTTCAGTTGACCGTTGGGCTGCCTATCAGATAGCCATGATACTCTTGAACTGTATACTGTATATAATGAGCCATGATGCCAAACACACTGAAAATAGAGTTAGGGTTTACATACACTTAGGGACTCATGTACAAACCTTCCACCCAGCATAAAACTGGGCGAATGCCGCAACATCTGCCCAGCTTTACGCTGGATGGAAGGTTCATACAGGAGCCCCTTTAACTGCCAGGCTATGCAACACAAAACCAAAAGTTACCAACACTCCCCCACCACCTGATCTGTCACCAGATCACTAGAGACAGGGAAAAAAAACTTGGTAATGCTGGATATAACAACCATGACATTTGCTCAGGCAGCTCTCTGTTTTGGCTCTGAAAAAGTAAAGGTGTGCATGGAATTTGCAGGGCACTCCAGTAACACACTGGGTGGCAGGGAAATGCTGGAAGAACAGAAACCTTGAGGTGACTGCTACACAGCCTGGCAGTGTAACTAAATATGTAACAAGTACGAGTGTATTCACAATATGATTCCTACACGAGTTCATACACTTACTTTATTCCTTTACGAGTCACTACTTTTTCCGAAGTAACATTAAACACCTTCTCAAATCTTTTTAGTTTCTGTTCAGTCATTCTGTGGAAGGGGGAGAAAAATTAGTTATGATCAGATCAGATTGTGTACCAGGAAAGTCACTGCACTCCTCTCCAAAATTTGTGTAAGCCGGGGTGCTGCGCTTGGTTGCGTGTGATCCACCTTTTAATTGGTCTTTAGGTTGTGTGGAAATGTGAAAATATCACAAACTAAATACAGTGCCAGTGATCAAATCCTAATTGCGGCTGTATAATGAAAATACAAGTCGAAAAAAGGAGGTAAATGTGTTCGTGAATAAATATTAAATGTTATTAAATAGTAAGTTAACAATGTAAATATCGCAAGATATGTGTAGCATATGTAAATAAATAAAATATTGTCGTGTGGAAACAAGTATTATTGTGAATAATATATATATATATATATCTGGTTGAAAAATGTGTAAACGGGTGAATTATTCCATCTGGCAAAAAATAAAAATATGAATAAAATGGAATAAAAACTATTTGTATGGCCAGTCAAAAGCTACAAGCCAAAGTGCACAAATTTCTTATAAAAACACATCTACTGATATAAAAGGTGAATAAAATATAGTGTGTTAGAGGTGTATGATCGGGGATTATGAGCAGCAAGATACTATTTTCCTCCGAGCAGCATTGGAAGTCAAGTGTCTTTTACTTATAGTTCTATTGATGAGTCCGCAGAGGGAAAAGGGAGTGCTCCGTTTCCTCGCTGACACCCTGGGAAGAGGTTCTACACAGGTTGCATATGCTGTTTTACCAACGGAAGTTTGTAAGTGCAATCATTTTAAACTTTTTAAATAAAGGATCTTGCATCTGCACTTAAATCCTGTTTTTTCTTCTATGGTCGGTCCCCCCCTCATTTCCTGGCTGATCTCTCCGGAGGGTTCTCCATCTATACTGGAGGCTGTCCAAACACCGCATGAGAGGAAGTGCAGCCTGACGGCAGGAGAGGGCAGAGAGACTATTATTGAAGAAATTTTCCCTCTGCGGACTCATCAATAGAACTATAAGTAAAAGACACTTGACTTCCAATGCTGCTCGGAGGAAAATAGTATCTTGCTGCTCATAATCCCCGATCATACACCTCTAACACACTATATTTTATTTACCTTTTATATCAGTAGATGTGTTTTTATAAGAAATTTGTGCACTTTGGCTTGTAGCTTTTGACTGGCCATACAATTAGTTTTTATTCCATTTTATTCATATTTTTATTTTTATTTTTTGCCAGATGGAATAATTCACCCGTTTACACATTTTTCAACCAGATTATATATATTTTTTTTTTTATTTTTTTTTTTTATTATTCACAATAATACTTGTTTCCACACGACAATATTTTATTTATTTACATATGCTACACATATCTTGCGATATTTACATTGTTAACTTACTATTTAATAACATTTAATATTTATTCACGAACACATTTACCTCCTTTTTTCGACTTGTATTTTCATTATACAGCCGCAATTAGGATTTGATCACTGGCACTGTATTTAGTTTGTGATATTTTCACATTTCCACACAACCTAAAGACCAATTAAAAGGTGGATCACACGCAACCAAGCGCAGCACCCCGGCTTACACTTGATCACGTTGATAGATATTGCTGCAGCTGGTTCATTTCTGTAAATTTATCTAGCGCAACTACCCTGGTTACCCTCTCCAAAATTTGTTTGGTTCTCTGATGTTCTAAAATAGCTTAATTATTACATCTCTGATCCAAGCTCCCCTACCAGGTAAATGTCTGGTAAAGTAATCAAACATAATTGGACATGCAGATTATACTGAAAATATTTTACCAGTTATCCATGTGGCTTCTTGCCAGTATTTAGGCCTTAATGGGCAAATTGTGATCAGACCGCGATTTCGACTAGAGGAAGCCACGACCGATGCGGAGTTCGCGAACGGAAGCAAACTTTTGCTGAACTTCCTGTTCACTAACCGAATTGTTCGCGAACAGAAGCGTTAGTAACGCCATGCACATCAGGCAGGTATTATCTGAGGTACAGAACTCAAGGTTGATTGTTGCTAAACATTCACGTGCTAGGGCCAATTTACACCAACCGCTGTGCTAAACGCACAGTAGCTGGCGTGCGGTGCCCGAAACAGTACCAGTGTACCAATCCCGACGAATTGCACCGTGTACTTTTTTTATTTCATAAGTGACAAGTGACATTTCATTTAGTTCTATGGACACAACGGGGTACGGGGCAGTTGTTTCCAGTGTCGTATCCCCCTGTGCTGAAAAAAAGTATTACAAGTTATACTTCTTTTCAGTGCACGCGATGATAACACGGTGGTGTGAACTGAGCCCGTCTGTGACAAGTCAAATTGCCTTGTCTTGCATTGGGACTGCGCTGGAAACATCGGCCAGCACAGCCCCAACGAGTATGGTGTGAATCAGCCGTTAAAGTGGAGATCTCAGTAACTTTACAAGCCTGCATTATTACGTTCCTGATATGTGCACCTTTTTTTCATTTAAAAGCAATCCTTAAATTTCAGTTGGTGTCTTTGCCAAGGATGAGATAATGTCAGTCTGCTGCAGGCAGGTGGAAGCAGTCTCAGGCCAGGTTCACACCTGGGCGATACGTGACCGCGCGACAATCGTGTACGGAGTCGCACACCACCGCTGATCACACTGGCTTTTTCTTACGGCACCCTAGTCGTGCCAGGCAGATCCCGAGGTTTCCCACATCGCAATTGCACACGATCGCGGTTAAAAAAGAAAAGTGCGGTGCAAAAAAAATGTACATGTACCTTTTTTCAGTGGATTACCGCGCGGATGTAACACCGTTGAAATCGTGCAGCAACCGCAAACAATTGCGCGGCCCGGAGATCTCCTGTGTCTGCACCAGCACTCAGTTTCATTTTCCCCAGTGATCAACACTGACTGCAACACTGTAACTTTGTTGCAGGTGAGTGGCTGAAGTAGGGCCTGATCTATGTCAGATATTAGTGAGCACAGACAAAAACTGCATAGACACCATGATTAACATACTTGAACTGAAATTGACAACATCTGACAAAGCTTTGTTCTAAGGCCAGTTCTGTACTAAATAGGAGTGTGTGAAAGTTTGAAGATTTTGATAAAATGAGATATTCTTCCAGAAATTTCCCAGTAGAGGACACAGTAATTCCAGCACAGGTGGTTATATGCCCTACGTAATTAGAGGTATTTTGTGAAGCTGCTAATATAGCCAGCTTGTGACCTGTTCCCTCCCCTTCCCCAAAATAGTGTTGCTTGTCATATAAATATTTATTTATATGACTCGCTGCCCGGCTTCCTGATTTGTCTGGAAGCTGGCCAATCAGGAAGCTGGGCACCGAGTAATGACACGATTGGCCAGAAAGCCGGCTCCATGCTCTCTCGTCACCTAGTGACGAAAAGCATGGAGACGGCTTCCCTGCTAATTGGAAAGCCAGGGGGTGAGTCTTTACAAACGGCCTGGCTTCCTGGCTAATCAGGAAGCCAGGTGGCGGGTCATTACACGCCGCCTGGCTTCCTTAATGACTTCCGGTATCGGTATTCAGTATCGGTGAGTACCGGAAAAAAATAACGGTACTCGATACCGAAAAACCGGTATCGATGCATCCCTATTGTATATATCCAGTTGTAAATATGGTTAAATATTACGTTTTATTTTAAAATATTATATGACATAACAAATGTACCTGAAATACTCACTCATAATGGAATCCAACATCATGATTTCCCACAACAACTATTAGCTCTGTTTGAGGAGGATGTCTGAACATAGACTGAAAACGAGAAACATCATTATCCCATGCCTGCAAGGAAATTACAAACAGTAGTCACAATATGTCAACCAGAAAAAAAAAGCTTTCTTGCCATCAAAGAAGAAATTCTCCTGCTCCAACACTTCTAGCTTAGATCACATGGTTTCTAGCTACCAAACATTATAGTCTGCAGATTCTAACATTTTCCAAAAAGAAATACACTATACACCCTATCAGTAAACCTTGCAGTGAAATAAATGAAGCACAAAAGGCACGAAAGGAAGCACAGCTTGAATATATAAGCAAATGTGACTGTCTGCATGTACAGTACATACAGTATATAACTACAAACTATACAGAGATAAATGTTTTATATCTCTAGATCTAATGTTCTAATGAGATTAGATTGTCCTAAAACCAGATCCTACATTTCTACCAAAACCCCAGACACCATTACATCCAGAAATCCTCTTCCCTTGTACAAATCAGTAAGCAAAATGCTTTAATCTTAACCTAGTAACGCGAGAAATTTGCAGTTTATGAAAATGGATAACTACTTGATTCTTTTCTGGAGCAGCTAAAAGTGTCTAAAACATCCAGCTCGGACACTAAAAATCACGAATTGAAATTATACAGATTCATTTAAAACTTTTAGATATATCGCTAATCAATAACATACATAAACACAGATAATATGCATGAATAATGTTTACTTATCCTATGATATTCGGTTAGAATAGAAGATGATGCGTATGGGTATACTTTATTGTAATTTAAACAAAGAACCATAAATCTGACTGCACTCTGTACTAGCTCATTAGAGCCAATGATATATTAGCAGATTATTTGATGTACATATTCTAATAAACATTAGTATTTGGAAAGTTCATACTCAATATAGACACATTCAGACGTTGCTGGATGAATATGTATCAAATTAAATTTCTCTTCCACAACATCGGAACAGTTTACTTGTATTGTAGTGGAACCTGATACTCAGTTTTACTTTCTTGGGCTTATAAAGGAAAGGTTTTCACAGGAAGAGCTGTTTATTTGTGGTATGCTCCACCATTTCCAAGTCCAAGTTTCTAAGTTGACATGGAATCTACCGGGCAAGCTGCATTTGAACTTAAAATAAATCTATGTGGCTAGAAAGCCAAGGCTGCCAGCCAGATCCTGACTTTACTACCTGGTAAGTCACCTACTTAGGAAAACATGCAGTTTGTGAAGTCTGAAAAATCTGAACTGCCAGCTTGTCTTAAGTCAGTGATTCAACAGGTAGAAGAACCAGAATAGCAATAACCCTCAACCCCTAAAACAAGTAAATAATGACAGCTCCCATACTGCATATATCTGACAGGTTCCCCAACAACTTCTATAATTTGCTAACCTGGATAAATAACTAAGTATCTGCTGTTCTCCGTGTATATGACCCTGACTCTGGCTGACTGATCTCCTGGTTCATGACTCCGGCTTTTTTTTTTCCGTTCATTCTGCTCTCAGTGTTCCTTGACCTGGTTCGGCTGACTACCTGCTTTGGCATCTGACCTCTGGCTTGGCATCGACAACGTCCTGGACTTCCTCCATTGTTTTTTGTAATTATTTTTGTTATTTTCAATAAACTCCTTTTATTTTTAACCTGCACTTTAGTTTCTGTCTGGTTTCTTGGTTCCCTAACAGCAGCATGATTTCATCATTTCGCTGATAGAGAACATAAAAAATGCAGAAGCGCACTACCAAGTAGTGACTGAGCAGGAGAAAATAATCGAATGAGACTTACCATGGTGTGGGTAATAGCGCGTTGTCAGCGGTGAGGTCTGGATGAAGGGTTGCTGGTGGTGGTGGGCAGGCTAATGTGTAAATCGTTGGTGCTGGAAAGACTAAGATGTCAAAAGGGGAACTGGGTCCGACGTTTAATGTGGCTGGGATCTGAGGGGGCGGCTCGGGTTTGGGAGAAAAAATTTTTTTGGCTGTTTAAAACGTGCTAGCTGCTGGTGGATGTGTACCTGAGATCTGTGTTTGTGTGTGTGTGGGGGAGATGCGGTGAACATTTGAAGCTGTCAGGCCGGGATTGTCCGGGGGAAACCACTAGTGCGGAAGCTAGCTTGGAGGTGGATGTTGAGGTCGGGTTGGGACTACCCCGCTCGAGGGCACGAGCGGCACGCCCGAAGCAGCGAGCGATGCCTCAGTGGGGTACAACGGGTGGGAACGAGTGGCGGAGGTGGTGGGTACACCTCAGGGGCAGCGCTGTAATAGAGGACATTTCTTCCAACTTTTTTTTTTGATTTCATCATTTCCAAGCCCACAGCTGACTAATTGGACAAAGAAGCAGCAACCCACAGATAAGTCATTAACTCTGCTCACTGTTCTGTCTTCTTCTATCAGCACACCTCCATGTAGTAGAGCCCAATGATCTCCTAGTGCCAACCCTTCATTGATAATGTATCAAGGTAAATTCAGGTGTTTAAGCTAGTTATATGTAAAATAATTTTAACATGAAACTAAAGCCACTGCAGGCCCCCAGAGCAATAGCTATAATATGCAAATATGCATGCATACTTACCCATTAGTTAGGCCTCTCACTGAAAGTCCCACAGTCCATCCGTTACCATCTTCTTCTAGACTTTTTCTGGCCAGGCATCTTCTCTCTTTAGTGAGTGGGTGAGAACTAATATTGTAACTCTTGCACATGTGTGCCGTAATTACATTGTCCTGGCACCTAGTCCCATTCTAGTTATCTTACAGATGCAATGAATGGGCCAAGAGAGTACACAGCACTAAGTATGTCCCACAGGCATCGTACACAAAACAAGTTGCTAGCAGACAAGTAAAGCGGTTTTCTTGGCCAGAAAAGACTTTACCTGCTAGCATTTTTTCCTCTGTTTAGTTCTGTTAAAGAATTGCAAGAACTGCAAGGGTTAAGTGTTTGTTTTGGTTTAGGGAGGAAAATAACAAAGTTATACTCGCCCGATCTCCCAAGTCGGCCGGCTGTTACAGCACTTCCTCCTGCAGAGATGGTATGTCTCTCGGCGTCCTCGTGTCCTATCCACAGTGGCGGAACTACCGCCGGTGCCGCCGCACCAGGGCCTGAGGCTGTGGGTGGGCCCAGTGGGGTCCGGTCCTGGGCACCCCCACAGCCTCAGTGGGGTCCGGTCCTGCAATATGGGGCAATGCAGGGTCCCGGTGTTAGAACACCGGGGCCCCGCACTGCCGACGGGCTTCCCAGTGAGGGGGCGATCTTACTTCATGTCATTAGACATGTGGATTATAATGGGGAATATTGCACTGTAATGTTCCCTATTATAATCTATAACTCTGTTGTGTACTGCTATTTCATGTAATTAGACAGATTGATTTTTGTTTCCCTTCCTAGACCAAAATGAGCCGTTACCCTTGCAGAGCAGGGGTAGCCCCACTGCAAGGCTTAATAAAAAGTTTGTCAGGAGTTCTTCTTTAACTATATTTAGGACAATACAGATCTGCATGAAATCATGTTTTTAATGTCTGCCTGAAATGTAGCTTTAGCCTTACAAATAAAAAGCTCACCTTAGAGTTACTCCATTTGCCTTCGTCGAATAGATCACCAAGGATGAAAACGATATCTGGCTGCAGGAGCCAAAGTGCACTTTGATAAGCTCTTTCCATTTGCCATTCCCTAAATCAATAAACAAGAAGTATGGAAAATTAAACAGACATAGCACACTAAAACATTTTCTTAGAATACAAAAAAAAATATACAAGAAATTGAACAAAGTACATTTCACTGCAGTAGCTTTCAAGTGGAGTTCCGTAATTAAGAAGTGCAGTCTGCCAGTTCTCTCTGTGTTCAGGAGTAACTGAAGGTTTGTTGCTCTCCATCTGGTCTCAAAGTGTTTGTATGTCAAAAATAAGCTCCAAAAAGGTGCACAACTGGCTTGACTTGAATGAAATGTCTTGATTGTCCATCCTTTCACAACCAAATGTTACCTTAAAATGAAGGATATATGGCTAGTACCGTAAAATTCACTTAGGATTCTTCATAAGTACACCAAAAGTTACCACAATGTTTTTGTTTCCTTGAAGCCTGTGCCAAGAGAAATGTGGAAGCTGCATTGCCCGACTGTCAAGCTGTTCTAATGGTTTCAAGATTTGCAGAGTTAACAACAAGCATGCAAACAAACAATACGTTTTGTGTTCACTGGCTGAATGTATGATCAGCCACTTCAAAAAAGAATTAGGAATAACTGCCAGACAACTAGCATTCTCATGGGGAGGTTAGTGATGGCAGCTCTGTTTGTCTCGACATAGGTTCAACCACTGGAGTTGATGCTACCCACCTGATACTCGAACACAAGTTCAGAAAACCCTTAAAAGAAACGTCTTTCATTCACTGCAGGAATCATTCTCTCTAATCCACTGCAGTCAGAAACCAGAAAGCACCCCACAGAATTACTAGTAATCAACTTCCTGAAACCCATGCTATGTACCTTCCTCCCTCTCGCTTTGCTTCCTGTATCACAAATAACATTTAAACTTCCACGGCTGGGTTTATTCTGAATGGCTTCTATGGGAAACTTAAAGAAGAACACTGGGGAAATAATGTTATTAACCCTTGCAGTGGGGCTACCCCCACACTGCAAGGGTTAATTGCTTGTTTGTGTCTAGCTGCTCACCCGATGCTCCCCGTGTGTGTTGTAAAGTAGCCACCGCTCCAGGCTCACTGCCGTGATGGACTACAATCTCATGTTTAGTTTACTAATTTGTATTGAGATTGTAGTCCATCACAGGAGTGAGCTTGGAGCGGTGACTACTTTACAACACATACAGGTACTATGGGGAACAAAAGAAGCCACTCCACAGAAGGAAGGACAGTGTCAGCACCAATTCAGAGATGATTTGAGGATCTACAGCCAAATGATGCACAAATAAGATATAGTTTTGTTAATAGTTAATGTACTTGAATGTATTTTTTAAGTTTAACTTAAAGTTTAACTCCTAAGTTTAGTGTCAGCCGAGTGATACACAAATAAGATACATTGCTGTTAAGTGTTGTGATACTTGAATGTATTTTTAAAGTGTAACTCCTGAGTTAAGTGTCATTTTAATAATTCCGCTCCGATGTTGATAGATAAATGAAGGGCTCCTAGGGTTTTAATAGGTAAGCCAATAATGAAGATTAGTGGCCTTCTTCTGAAATAACGCTTGCTGGTGTTCGTATTGGCAAAAAGCTGAATACAGTTCAAATACATATTTCTATTGTCTTAACTTCCAAAAGATGTATAATTCTATTCCCCCAGTTTTCTAATCGAGATACCCCATTCCAGATACTGATCACTTACTTTTTTTTTTACTACAGTCAATACAGCTTGGTCAAGAGTGTGACTGGATAGTGAAGGAGCAGAAACTTACTACAGTCATAACAATACAGCTTGGTCAAGACTGTGATTGGATAGTGAAGGAGCAGAAACTTACTACAGTCATAGCAATACAGCGTGGTCAAGACTGTGATTGGATAGTGAAGGAGCAGAAGCTTACTACAGTCATAGCAATACAGCTTGTTCAAGACTGTGATTGGATAGTGAAGGAGCAGAAGCTTACTACAGTCATAGCAATACAGCTTGGTCAAGACTGCGATTGGATAGTGAAGGAGCAGAAGCTTACTACAGTCATAGCAATACAGCGTGGTCAAGACTGTGATTGGATAGTGAAGGAGCAGAAGCTTACTACAGTCATAGCAATACAGCTTGGTCAAGACTGCGATTGGATAGTGAAGGAGCAGAAGCTTACTACAGCCATAGCAATACAGCGTGGTCAAGACTGTGATTGGATAGTGAAGGAGCAGAAGCTTACTACAGTCATAACAATACAGCTTGTTCAAGACTGTGATTGGTTAGTGAAGGAGCAGAAGCTTACTGCAGTCATAGCAATACAGCTTGTTCAAGACTGTGATTGGATAGTGAAGGAGCAGAAGCTTACTACAGTCATAGCAATACAGCGTGGTCAAGACTGTGATTGGATAGTGAAGGAGCAGAAGCTTACTACAGTCATAGCAATACAGCTTGGTCAAGACTGCGATTGGATAGTGAAGGAGCAGAAGCTTACTACAGCCATAGCAATACAGCGTGGTCAAGACTGTGATTGGATAGTGAAGGAGCAGAAGCTTACTGCAGTCATAGCAATACAGCTTGGTCAAGACTGTGATTGGATAGTGAAGGAGCAGAAGCTTACTACAGTCATAACAATACAGCTTGTTCAAGACTGTGATTGGATAGTGAAGGAGCAGAAGCTTACTGCAGTCATAGCAATACAGCTTGTTCAAGACTGTGATTGGATAGTGAAGGAGCAGAAGCTTACTACAGTCATAGCAATACAGCGTGGTCAAGACTGTGATTGGATAGTGAAGGAGCAGAAGCTTACTACAGTCATAGCAATACAGCTTGGTCAAGACTGCGATTGGATAGTGAAGGAGCAGAAGCTTACTACAGCCATAGCAATACAGCGTGGTCAAGACTGTGATTGGATAGTGAAGGAGCAGAAGCTTACTGCAGTCATAGCAATACAGCTTGGTCAAGACTGTGATTGGATAGTGAAGGAGCAGAAGCTTACTACAGTCATAGCAATACAGCGTGGTCAAGACTGTGATTGGATAGTGAAGGAGCAGAAGCTTACTACAGTCGTAGCAATACAGCGTGGTCAAGACTGTGATTGGATAGTGAAGGAGCAGAAGCTTACTAATGATGTCATCTCAGTGCTCTCTCCTCCAATCAGCATATTAAGTTGGGTGCACAGCATTGAGCAATTCAGTGAAGCCGCATTTTGAAAGAATTTAACTGATGCCCCTTCCTCTGCCAGTTTGATTTCTCTTATATCTGCCAATAAGTAAACTTTAGTGCAAGTGTAATGGATTTAATGTATAATCCTATTCATATCAACCCCCAACGTCAAGCTGCCCTTGCTTGCATGCAACTGTTCAGCATGATTGTTTCATGTCCCTCGTGCTGCCTTACCTTCTTAGTTTGTCAAGCCAATGACCCCTTATTTCACCCAGAAGATGAGTGTCCGATAAAAACATTGCCTTCAGAGGTGTTGAAGTGTGGGCATTAGAGGAACTCTTCGGGTCTGGCCAGGAACATTGAAATAGAACAAAATAGTAAACCAAAAACTCGCAGAATAAAACAACTAGAAAAATGAACGTCAGAAATTTCAGCAGGAAGACGCCTCTGTTAAGAAGGAAATTCTTCTCTGTACCAAACCCACGTTTCTGCTTGGCCATGTGTGCAAAATTCAGATAGCTGAATGAAGAGCGCAGCATCCATTAGCATGACTCTGATTTTCCAGCGACCGGATCAAAATGCTTGCATCTTACCTGCTAAAAGAAACAGAACGTAACATGACTGGCTATCAGCTAAAACTATATAGACTAGAATGTGTGTATAATTAATATAATATATATATATATTTATTTTTATTTTACAAACCCTTGACTTAGTTTTACATGGTTTCTATAAAACATTGTACCTTACCATTGAATGGTGCAGAATTCCCATGCTAAAATGAACAAATAAGGGATTTTTATATTTACCATAAATGTATTTCTTGGTTTATTAGGTGACACAGGCTCAGGAGTAATTCAGAGACAACTGGGTTATACTGCTGCCTACAGAAGGAATTGGACAATGGCCTGTAAGGTATAACCCCTTCTACTCACATCATGCATCAGTGTGGTAGAAAAGCAATATTAGGAGTTGATCTCAATGTCCTTTACTGAACTCCAAGAAATTGATTTTACAAGAAGTACAAAAATCCTGTCATTCATTGATGGACACAGGATCAAAAGTAATTAAGAGACAACTGGGAAGTAGTCCAACTGATGGGTTAGCAACAGCAACAAAACCTAAAAGCCCACATAAAATTGTGATTGGGGGCACACTGCAGCTCAAAGAGCTGCCTGAATGATATGCTTGTATCAGCTGCGGCCTAAACATTCAGCTGGTAAAACTTAGAAAATACATGAACAGAAGACCAGGTGGTGGCCTTGCAACTCTGAGGAACAGTTGTCTGATGCCAAAAAGCCCAAGAAGCACTTACAGACCTAATAGGAGTGCAGCTTGGCAAGAAAAAGTGCTACAATGGATATAAAAAGTCTACACACCAGAGTTTATATATTTATTACAGGTATTTATATAGCGCAGACAATTTATGCAGCGTTTTACATCGGTCCCTACCCTCAAGGAGCTTACAATCTAAGGTCCCCATCTCACATGCATACATAGAGGGCCAACTTAGAGAGGAACCAATTTACCTTCCAGCATCGGTGTACATGGAGGAAACCCACGCAAGCACAGGGAGAACATGCAAACTCCTTGCAGATAGTGACCTGGCTGGGATTCCAACCAGGGACCCCAAGTGCTGCAAGGTGAAGTGCTAACCACTACGCCAATGTGTTGACGCAACAAGAAAGACAACCTTGTGCTTAAAAGGAAGAAAGGGGAATATCCGTGATGGATTCAAATAGTGGTTTTTGGAGAGTCACAAGAACCAAATTCAGACCCCACAGAGTCAGTGGAAGTTGTCCAAGAAGCACTTACAGACCTAATAGGAGTGCAGCTTGACAAGAAAAGGTGCTACAATGGATATAAAAAGTCTACACACCAGAGTTAATGGCAACAAGAAAGACAACCTTGGAGAAAATTGGCCCCTAATGGGCACTTGCTGATCCAGGCCAGATTACAACATAAACAGTTCTTTAAATGGAGTATTTCCTGGGTGAAATGATTTATTATTATTATTGGTATTTATGGAGTGCAGACAATTTACGCAGCGCTTTACATAGTTGCTCATTCACATCAGTCCCTACCCTCAAGGAGCTTACAATCTAAGGTAAATGTTTTTTTGCCTCACACCAAGCGAACTATGCCATCCAAAAGCAATGGTAGACCTTGCAGGAGGCAGACTTCCTAGCTTTCAGGAATATAGAAAGCACAGAATCAGAAAGGCCCCTATCTCTTAAAATCTGAACGTCAACGGCCAAGCAATGAACGCAAGGAACTGTGAAGCAGACAAGGAAGGAGTTTTGAGAAATGAAAAGGTGTAGATCAAAGCATTCACCACTACCGACAGAGGATCTCTGCATCGCAGCGGCACGTGCGGTGCCACAAAACAGTCAGGAGGTCACATGAACGGCAACGCAACACCCCTGCTGCACGGTAACGCAAGCTAAGTGCGTTGTGTGATAGCATGTGATAATCGCGATAAACAGGACCTTGTAAAAATGGATACATCTGTGCATGGAGACACGTGACAGTTCTGTGCCAACCAGCGCTGTGACATGGGGGAATCTATAGTCCTGTGTCAGCTACGACTCTGGCAACCTGTAGCTTACAAAGGGCGTTGCTCCCAGGGCAAGGGTGGGCAAACTCCGGCCCTCCAGCTGTTGGGGAACTGCAGATCCCATGAGGCATTGCAAGATTCTCACAGCCACAGGCATGGCTCCCAGAGACATAACTCCCAGAGATGCATCTTGGGATTTGTAGTTTCATCACAATCGGAGGGCTGCAGTTTGCCCACCCCTGTCCCAGGAGCTGAAGGGAGCAGTGGAGGAAAGAAAGGAAGGGAAGTACATGCGTCTGTAGGTCTCATTAAAGTGAATGCGTTGCTATGTCCTGCATAGATTCATTCTAAGTGTTATCTATACATAAAAGAAACCACACACATACACATTCCTGTAGTACTCAAGCTTTCAGAAGAGTGTGTTGCCATACCTGCTCTACCGGTTCTAATGGTATTACATGTGACATCAGTCTCTCTCTCTCTCTCTCTCTCTCTCTCTCTCTCTCTCTCTCTCTCTCTCTATATATATATATATATAGAGAGAGAGAGAGAGAGAGAATCTATATATATATATATGGGCTTGCATTCCAAGCAATAATCTGCTGCGGTATCAAACATTCATCCAACATGTCCAGACATTCTCCAAAATAACAGGGATATCATTTTACCTCAAAGTAACCCTTGCAGTGGCACTACCCCCAGCCCAGGGCAAAAATAAAGTTATACTCACCTGATTCTCAGGGCCGGCTTGCCCTTAGATCGGGCTCTGCTGCAGCGGTCTAAGGTCCGTGAGTCTATACACAGCGTATAAGACGTGAGGACGCCGAGGGACATACCATCGCTGCAGCAGGGAAGGAGACAGGCTGGAGGGAGCGCTGTCACAGCCGGGTGACTATAACTTATTTTTGACCCTAGGCAAAAATGAGCACTTAACCCCTTGCAGTGCGGGGGCAGCCCTACTGCAAGGGTTAAATAAAATGCTTACCCGGAGTTGTGCTTTAAGGTAAACATACTTAGAACATGCCCATGTTAAACTATGGCAGGCTACACGGCAATGACCTAGCAGCAGACACTGCAACTAGCAGCTACAAATCTCTCTGTGATTGGTAGGGGACTATAAGGGGTTCATTCACATGGGAGTGCACGTGGCTACACCCTGACCCGAACCTGCAGTCTGTGCACGCCCATGTGAATGAGCCCTTATACCTATCTATACGGCAACATATCGCTGGTGTATCATGGTAATCAGCATCTGCTTTGGATAACATGTGTAGCTAATGAAGCTAGTGATTCTACTAGGGCTGCAGCGAACGATTCATAATTATTGTTCGCCAAATCGATTGGTTGCATTTCAAAATAATCTCTCTCCCTCCATCTTCCTCTCCTCTCCCCCTCTCTCTCAACCAACTAATCGATCATGAGAATAGTTGCCAATTATTATCGATTTAATCGATTAGTTGTTGCAGCCCAAGATTCTAACAAACATGACCATTGAGGTGAATGGAACAACGCAGCAACTGCGTGCCAACGCTTGGCATAACGTTACAGCATGGTAGTTCCATGTGAAATCCCCCTCAGTTACAAAAAAAAACAGAAAACAGCATTGAGGAGGCAGCGATATGCAGTAACATTGGTTGCCGTACCACCCAGCCATCTGCGTCCTAGCAACCAAGGACACAGGGGATCTGATACGCCCCCTGCATAGCTAATGATGGTGCTTGTCACAGGGAAGTGCCTGGTACCCAAAGCAAGTACTGTCAAACTCCAGCCCCCCAGATGTGGTGAAACTACAAATCCCATCATGAATCTGTCCTGGGAGGCATTCCTGTGGCTGTGAGAATCTTTGCAATGCCTCATGGGATTTGTAGTTCCACAACAGCTGAAGGGACGGAGTTTGCTCACCCTTTAGCAAGATGAGACACAGTGCTATATGTACTTTATCACCTGGGGGACATGAACAACAAACACCATGTGTAGTCAGACTTCTTTAACCCTTTCCTATTGTACCTGAACCTAAAAAGCTCTACATGTAAAGCTGCTATGTGACACCACTACAATCCTGACAGTATACATACAGCCTTCCTGGACCCTACGCTATGACCCCAAGCCTCATAGGTAACAGTCTTCACAATGGAAGGGGATGCCAGCCAATGGAGGGGACAGTCGGTCCTGACATTCCCCACACTGAGCTGTCCCCACTGCCTCCCCCCCACACGGACCGCTATAAGTACCTGAACACCCGCCCGGGGCGGAAATAAAGCGAGTCGGTGATGAGCCGGCAGGCTGATAGCAGATATAAACATGGAGAGAACGTCGCACAGCCTCCCATCAGCATCAGCCACTCCTGCTCCCTCATTGGTTCTCTCTGTAGCCTGGGCGGGGTCTGGGAATATGATAGAAATGATTGGTTGGATGAGCCATCGCTCAGGAGCTGCATATGAGTTCTGTCAACGTTCTTTACGCTGTTGTTTCGCAATAACATTGGCCCAGCACGATCCGGGCACGGCGGTCTATGTATTTATCTATAACCACAAATTGGTTTTATTTTTCATTTCTCTCCCTCTACAAAGACAAGACTATATGTGTACTTCCTGTATCCGTTGGCCTAGGTCTTGTGTGCGCCCCCTCTCTAATAAAGATTGGAATTTGTGTATTTGGTGATGTTTGTAATAATAGTGTTATGCTCCACATTTACATGCAGACCGATCACAAGTGACATTAACGAGGTTGTGACAAATGACTTTAGAAGGAGCGGTCATTTACAATGGTCCATATTTATTCATATGGTTTAAAGTCTATTCCTAAAGGGGGGAAAAACTTTCCCCTTGCAGTGGTGCCCCCTCTTCCCCGCACTGCAAAGTTTAAATGCTTGTTCTAGGTACCCAATAAAGAATTTGATCCCACAGGCTTTAATAGCGACACCCGCAGCCTCTTCCTCCCTGAGGAGTAAGGACCACTGACATCATCAAACACCATAACGGGCCTGTAGGCTTGCATTATATGTGAGGAGTCAGGAATATTGAAAATGTAATCATACT